TGATGGTGGCATCATGCAAGGAAATGACACCTAACCTAAAAATGATTCAAACCTTTGTAAAAAACTTGGACGTCATCATAAAGGCGCACAAAAGTAGGGCGTGAAGTGAGTGCTAAGAAAAACATAATTGCCTCCTATGATCAGGCTAAATCTCGAATAAGAAAATTAAATTGAATTAATACTTGGAAAAGTGCAAAAAACGAGCGCAAAATAATGTCGATACGAAAGTTGGCGAGTAACCACCCAATCCGCTAATTTTGATCTTAATCGAAATGCAGAACCTTTCTCAACAAACAAACGGTTTATAACGCGCAAGCTTAGAATGCAGGGCACTATAAAATACCATGTGCAATTTGAAATCAACACACGCCGCTGATCGGCCAGCTAGCTCCGTTAGCCAAATAGTTAACAGCGTAGAGAGATATGCTCTTACTCAGGGTAGTAGGTAAGTGAATTAAAAACTTTGACAACAAATTATTATAAAAGATTCCAAGTAACTCTCCGCCACTAATACTTACTGGTGCTTCGATTCAAGTCTTTCGGGCGCTACCTAATTCCACTAAAAATTTTATCTGCAGCCACCGGAATTAGGAAAGGTGGCTTCAGTATAAAAAGAGTCGACAATTGACCCACAAGAAAGATTATTCTTTATTAACCAAACAGTATGCAAAATACAAAAAAAAATGAAATCTTCCCATGGACTATTAACACAAAAATTAACCCACCAACAACCACTGAAGTTATGTGACACCTCGTACCCGCTAAGCAACGACAAGTATAATGGAAATTGAAATGATATACTATAATCAGTAGCTTGGGGTGTTGAAGTTAATCGTAGTAACGAGCTCTTTACCTTACAAGTGATTACTTCTCTAAAGTAATTCGTATTTAATAGTTAACAGTCCTAAAGATTAAGCATACTAATTACACGTAAAAATTTCCACTTACATATGTGGGTCAAATAAACTGTTCACAGATATTTAGGTCTTAACAACAACAAAAATTGAAGGTACGTCACCGCTAACGATAAATGGTGTAACCAAAAGTAACTCCTACGGAGGTAACAAAGCTTGTGCTCCAGGTATATTTCTCTGACGATCTACGTTCAGGTGCCCTTAAGATCTTAATGATTCAACGGGATGTTTTACAGCACACTCATCTGCAGTAGGTCGATTATTTCCCCGGATTCAGCTGAAAATTAACCTCCTTGCAAAGACTCTAGAAAGTAACCTAATTACGACTACGTTATAACCCACAATAATGCTAACCTCTTATTCAGAGAGTACACAAAAGAAAAGAACTGGATACGTTCCAAATGACTACAAAAGTTACTATATGGTCGGTATTTGTTTCCCTACAATAGAAAAAAGAACATCGGTAACCTCGATTCGTGCACAACACTTACGATTTGGAATGCTAGAGTTTTCCGTATTAAAAGTCCATTTCGTAAAAAAAATTGTAACCGAACGTCCAAAAACAAATTGTCGGCACAACGGGTAATCGATTGATTAAAGATGCTTCCGCTAATTATAATTACATCAATTCGACCATTGGAAAATATATCAAACACCCAAATTCAGGAATCTAGCACGACCGATTTTATTGCAGGTTGCTGGAAGACGCCACAAGTTTCGAAATTTTACCAAAGCCACAGGTACGGATAGTTATCTCTGACAAATAGTAGGGCAGTATTTGATACATGACCATATAAGGTAATTTAATGGTTAACATAAAAAAAGCAAAACAAACTAAATGTCCTCTAACGACAAGAAGATCAGTTAAATCGGAGAGGCAAACACAGAAATGCAAAAGTAACTAGAAATTGGTCGCATTCAATGACTTTAGAAAATATACAGATGGAACTTTGAAAGGTGGGATTTAATTTCTACCAAAACGGAAGATATATACAAGGCGGAATACGCGCACCATAAGAAGTCGTTCCAAAATTAACGTATTAAAATTCTAGAAGGCGCAAAAAATCGAATTAAAATCGTGCCGATTGTTAGGTCGCCTCTTGTAAGACAAAAAAATTTTGAATTGAATTTGGAACTTCTGGGGACCAGCTGGAAACAAATTTGTGATATAATTTTGATTTCGAAAAATCTAGGGTGCCTATCGAGGTGCCTATGAAATTTTCAAAACGTTTTTGGTATCTCTTTGGGGACGAGATACGCCCAAATGTTATTAAGAAAAGTTGTTCAGAATGAAAAACTGAGTGCACAATGTCAAAGTCCTAGACCTACTTTGATTTTTTGGATGTTTTTATTTTTTAACTGGATTTTTTATAGAATATCCGAAAAAATGTTACCTAAAAAAACTGTCCAAAATAAAATGTATTTCGGATTTCCTCAAAAACATTAAAAAAATCAAAAATCAAAGTATGCCTAGGACTTTGAAATTGCACCTTTACTCAGTTTTTCATTTTGAACAACTTTTCTTAATAGCATTTGGCGTCTCGTCCCTAAAGAGATGCAAACAAATGTTCTTTGAAAATTTCAAAGGCACCTTAATATTTCGAAACTAAAATTATTTAAAAAAATAGTTTCCAACTATACTAAGCAGAGCTGATCCCCAGTAGCTCCAAATTCAATTCGAAAATTTGACAAAAACCGGCTAAACAATCGGGAGACACACTGTAGATGGCTGTGCAAATAAAGCGTGTTTTTTTAAACCGAAATAGCTTTTGTTTTGACATCATCATATATTTCTTGCCTCAAGACGTCTCAATCGCCCTTTGTGAGTACCCTCTTCCGACAATCCGTTTTTAAGGTTTAAGGGAATATACCCGATCACGATAAGAGGTTGAGGAGGAGGGTTATGGTTGGTAGAAATGAATTCCTTTCATTAGAGTACCATGAAGGATAAAACTAGTTCCACCCCCCGCCCCCTACACCTCGTACTTTGATAAGAGGACAGAAAGAAGGGCAGAAGTTGGTAGAAAACGGTTCCTTTCATTGAGACCTGTAATTAGAATACAATGAGGAAAAAGTAATTTTTACAGCAACTCATTTTTGATCGCCCGTTATGTCAAAGTATACAGTGTGGTACGTCATTGTTTTTTAATCGTCTATCTCATTCCGTAAAAATCCAATATGGCGCCCACAAGAAATAAGAAAGTAGTAGCCTGTAGCTTCTACATCTAGCTTGCTATGGAAAATCTGAAAACGGATTCAAATTCTTCGAAAACAAAATGCCCATAGAAAGTGCTAACGGGAACCGTCCATTTCTGACCGTTTAGGGTAAGGAAAATAAAAACGAAATTTGACATTTTAAGTTTTTCAGTGATATCTCAGTGATTTTCAACGATTCTTCAAAAATTTCTAAAGCATTTTTTTAGTCACAAAAACAAGCAACTTTGCCTCCATTTAACCTACTCTGTACCATTATGGAGAATGAAGAACCCGATGGTGAACCACGAATTTGAACCACTCTGTACAGACAGTCAGACCGACCGACATCATCGAGATTTTGTTTGATTCGGATTCCTGGTGGTTCAAAACGTGTATTTCCGTCAAAAAAGTGGGGGGTCATTATTTACCTCAATGTCTGTTACTAAGGGTGGTAAAAATGCTAGAAAAAATTAAATAAAAAGAAAACAAAGCACGAAATGATGTTTGATGGCTCGGATCGTGTAAAAATAAACAAAAAAAATACTATTATCGACCTATAGAATTATGATGGAAGGTACAAAGCGCATAAAACTACTATACAGGGTGATTCACGCAGGCCGTTCGTCCGAACTTTTTCAAATTGCAGTTGAGACAGCAACTTCAAATTTGGTTCACAGCTATAATCACACTATTGCGAATTGAAATAAAATATTTCAAGATGGTGCCGCTTCCGTAAATACCAGAAGTTGGCGCCATCTTGTTTTTTATACATAAATATGTATACCATTTTCCATTTTTTTTCTAAATGCGCCATTTTATTTTGAATTCAAGGCATTTAATATATGTCATAGTTTTTGACATTTCATAATGTTTCTCGAAAAATTTTGAGATGCAAGAATCCATTCCAAAATTCATATCTCGCAAGCCGTTCAAGATACCTGAGTGCTCTTTTTGTAATCGAATCCGAATTTTTTTTAGTGACCGCGGAAAGTTTTCAAAAAGTTTCCAGGGCTGCTGCGATTTTTCAAAATAATGTCAAAAAGTTCAGTTTTGCAAATTGCAGCTCTGATGCCAGGAATGAATGTAGATTTGAATTTTAAAGCTATTTTTATTAACATTCCGTGTGCCTATATCCGGTAGTTTTTGAAAAAAATCGTAGCAACCCTGAAAACTTTTTCTTTCAGCGGCCACTCAAAAAATTCCCTAGACTTTAAGGATTCGACTATAAAAAATTGCACTCACTTATGTTGGACGCTTTAAGAGGTATCAATTTTTGAATGATCTGGCATCTCCACATTTTTAGACAAATTTAAAAAGTGACATATGTCAAAAACTATGACAGATAGATACGCAAATATTAAATATGCGTTGAATTCAGAATAAAATAGCGCATTTAAAAAAAGAGAGAAAATGGTATGTTTCTATTTTAAAAAAACAAGATGGCGGCAACTTCTGGTATTTACGGAAGCAGCGCCATCTTGAAATCATGTTATTTCAATCGCCAATGGTCGATTATACCAAATTTCAAGTTTCTCTTTCAACTGGAAGTTTAAAAGCTAGTAACGAACAGTCTACGTGAATAGAACCATGATACGAAGGTGGCTCCTTGGTTTTATTTCCTCCATAAAGTGGAGAATATGCAACATTTCGGAATATACGCATTTTCCAGCCGTTCACAAGATTTTGAGAACCGCACAATCTAACTAAAACCATCTCGACGCAAACATAGATGGCGCCAAAATGGAATGGCGCAGGGCTTATGATCGTTTCGAGAGTGACCATTTTGGGAATGAGTCTAAGATATTATATTGTAATGACACAAAAAAGCGCATAAAACTCCCTAAATTACGTCTTTACTTGAAAAATGAAAGCGCATAAACTCATATAAATCTAATCAGACTCACCGTTTTTTCTCGTTGGCCTTTTGAGCGTAGATGGCGCTCTCATAATGTTAGGTTTCGCCACATACGTAATGCTGCGTTTATGCGACAATCCGGAGCGTTTTCGTCGTACGGGTCGTCTTCTAGGGACCGGCGACACGCCCGGAGGCACGTAGGGAGAGACATTTCCGCACGAAGTGCTATCATCATCACTGACCAGACCGCTAATCGCCCCCGAGGCAACCGATTCCGCAGACAGGCGATCGGCGGTTTGGAAATCGTTAGAGGGATAGTCGTAGTCGTCGTTGTCCTCCCGCAAGCTAATTCGAGATACGCGGCCGCTCGGGAATTGCTGCTCGTCCGAGAAGTTTTCAAATTCGCCGGGGAGCGGCTCGTATAGACCCTCGTCAGTGCTTTCGTTTAAATTTCTGCAGCCCTCGTCCAAATTAAAGTTTCTGATTTCTAACAGTCCAACTTTGAACGACTGTTTGCGTCTTATTGACGTCCTTCGCTTTTCCGGGGGCACAAAGATCATCGGGTCCAACTTCAAGTTCTTGAGACATCGCTGCCTGCTTATTACGACTTGATACATGTCGTTCTTGGGCGAGGCGCCCTTCTTTTTCTTTCCCCGCAACGAGCCGCGTAGTTTTTTCTTTCTGCTACTCTTTCGCTTGACGGAGTTCCGTCGGACTTCCAAGGCGCCGCTGGTCCTTTTGAAGTACCCGTCGCGGCTCACCGACAGTTTCGGCTTGGGTCGCTTTCTCCTGAAAAAACCACGAGGCGCCGGTCCGCCGAAATCGGAAAGTTTGGGTATTGAGATCGAGAATGAGAACCCGGAGTCTTTGCTCGAAAACATTCCCGTTGAGTTTGTCGCGTTGCTGGTGAGGGAGAGGGTTCGCGAGACGGGGGGTGTGGGTTTTTTGAGCAGTTTGATGGGGTCTTCTTTGCGATCCTTAAGGGCGCTGTCGAGGGAGTGATGGGCAGGGAGGGGTTGCACGCCGATTCTCGGCAGCTCTAAACTGCGAGGGGCCATTCCTTGGGGCGCGTCCATCCAGATTCTTCCCAAACTGATCGAGAGTGAGCACATCTCCTCCGCCCCAGATTCGGGTAGTAGAGACTGCGGCGATTTCGCTCTGGATTTTCGACGAATGAGTGGAGATTTTTTGGAGTCCGCGCAGTCGCCCCAAGGAAATACTTCGACGGCCGAATCATTGCTCTCTTTTCGCTGAAGGATTGGACTCGTTGGTCTTAGTTTGAGGGTTGATTTCTTGTGCAGCGTTGGCGATGATGACAGTTGCCGTATGACCGGACACGCGGATTCTCCCTCCGAAGACGCGGGGATGTAAATTACAGTCCGTTCGGCACCCTTCGCCGCACTTGGTGGTTCACTAGGCCGAATACTTTTCACCCACTGGCTGTAAGCAGTCACACTCTTTTCGGCACTTTTCCCCGTTGGGTCCAGCGAGCGATCCACCTGAATCGAACTGTCCACCTTACCAGAAATCACATCCTCAGCGACCGTCTGAGTAGCAACCTCCAGCTTCTGCAAGTGCTTCTTTTTCCCACGATCCAGGTAACTCTTCCTAATCGAAATTCTTTTAAAGGAGTCGCTCCGTTTAAATGACGTTTTCTCCTTGTCCTTCTTCTTGCGGCCGCCTCCCATGAGGCGGCGAAGATTTTCGAATATAATCGGCTTCATTTCATTTGCATGTCTCTCCCACTTCACGTCATTCTAAAACGCTCTCTCGTGAATTAATTCCGATGTTACCGATACGAAAACGTGGGCTCACTGCGGCGATACGTCGGCCAGATGCGTCGAAAAAGGTGAAAGAACCCCACCTAAGAATAAACGACAACATACATTATCAAACAAAAAAGTGAAATCTTTTGTGTGTGGCACGTCCTTATGTGGATTCTGTTGCGATATAAAGTGGTTCTACTTCTTTAGTCGGACACGATTCGGCTAGATTAATGAAGCACAGAAGGCGATTTGAGCCCCTCGAAAACTCGTAGGTTAGGCGAAGGTGATTGCACAACGAACGTAATGTAAATGACAAATCGTTTACTCACGTTTTGGAAGCACGCATTAATTTATTTATTGTAGTTTATTAGCTCGTAAAAATTATGCAACACCAGATGATCAAAATTGTTGAAGAAACATTTACTTTCCTTGTATTACCACGGCGCACAGTGTAGGTGTAAATTAGCGCATAATTGCGCAAAATACGAAATGTGTGGGTAATGATTCGCTTACCGAGTTATTTTCGGCGTATGAATTAGTGCCGTAATTAGTCTAATATCATGACGCAAAATTGTACATGAGCGGCGCATAATTTCCCAACGAAAAAAGCATTTATAGAAGAACTGAGCGAATGTTCGAAATAGATTCCGATCGTCGCGACGCAGCGCATAATTTTCTCGTGTAGTTCAATTTTTTGTACCGTTTGTGGCGCAACATTTTGCGTTAACGGCGCTTAATTGGCGCATAATTGCAAAATTCAAAATTAAAATCAAACAGAACTAAGCAAACGTATCGAATCGTTGTGATAATTTCCTCTCAGGATTACGTTTATAACAACTTTTGCGGAAAGATAAGGATTTAATGTCAGGTTACGTCATTTTGCGCTCAGAACGTCGTTTGTTCTATTATGGTACAAAATGTAAGTTTAAAATTGTTTCATTGGTGCACAATTTCACGCAAAAATTTTATTTCAAAATTTAAGCTTCAAATTTCATTTTGCGCGATTCGAGGTAAGAAAGATCTGGTTAAATTTTCCGATAAGATCAGGTCAAAGTTAATTAATTTCAACAAAAGGGCACATCTGGTGCTGATAACGGAACATGCAGGTGTTTAACGATGTGCGCATTAGTACGGCGTAAGTGGGGACGTGCGACGCGTTCCGTCGAAGCTGACGTTATCAAGTCTAATAACGACTGCCAGTGATTTTGAAAGATCTGAAAAAAGAAGATTATTGTATTCTTGAAGTAGTGTATCGTTAAATACTGGAATCAACAAAAAAACAGAGCTTGGTTCGCGACGGTTGAAAAGCGCGTACGTTTCATTACGCTATTTGATAAGTTGAAAACGCATTTGTGATTATTATAATAATTTTTTGCAGAAGCAAGGTAACTAAAATTGTATGAGAAGTTTAAAACGGTCTGTCTATTATTTTTTTAGGAAAAAATCTGTCAAAAAAGGTATAAGTTTTGTACCGTCCCAACAGCCACCTGCAATTCGTGATTTTATTCTTCCACTTAATGTTGTATATGCATAAAGATTTGTGTGTAAAAGAAGTGAAGCTCAGAATCTGACAGCGTTTGTGGGTGAAGTTAAGTGCGCCCTGTTATCACAAACCTTTGTACGACCAGATTGTTAAGATTAATAAAAGAGAAAAATCTAAGTAATTTAAAGATTTTCTTATTTTATTTGTCGAACGCGTGCGTGCGGAGTATTGTGTTCGAACATACTTTGTATGCTCTTCTTTCTTTCAGGAATGTTGTTTTAAGGTTTTATTTCATGTGTTTCGGAATAAATTGGTGTCATTGTCAATCAATTTATTGTGTGTTTATTCGAATCCTTTGTGCGACCTGGATAGTGTTCATGTTGATCTTCTCGTGTCCAAGAATGCCAGGTGTTAATCAAAATTTGGAATATGCGGAAGTTGATCGAGAGTAGCGAGTCTCCCAAATTATTAATTTAAGTCAATATTGGGATTTTGTTTTGTAGCAGATGCCAGAAGTGTGCGAGGCGAGATTATAAAACAATTCAAAATTTCAATTTTGATTTGTGGGTGGAGTAGTTGACCGTATACCACTGCACACAGCATTATTTATTTGGCACCCAACGTGAGGCACAGCATTATTTGGCGCCCAACGTGGGGCAAATTAGGGAAACGCGAAATTTAGATCAAATATGCTGATTTAAATTAGGAAAGTTTTTGTCGTGTGGTAAAATTATCTTTGTACCTAGACATTTAATCAGGGTTTCTTGCAAGATTAATTACAAGGTAGGGTTTTAACAAAAAGTGATTTTAATCAACAAGATTTAAAAAAAAAGATGTCTACAATGAGAATGAAGACCGAGGAAGAATGAGTCGCTGAAATCGTGAATGTACTTAAAGAATCGGTGGCGGAGTTTCATAAAAAATGGATGCACAGTTACAGAAAATGGATACGAATATTACGGGGTTAAAGGCGACAAGACGGACTTAAGAGAATGGAAGAACAAAATGTTAAGATCAGACAGGAAATATGTGGCATAAAAAGTGCACCAGGTTGAGTGATATTCAAATCCAGGCAAAGGAGAGCGACACATAAGGTTCTCTTGTTATTAAAACTTAAAAGTTTTGTACCGTCAGAACAGACACCGGCCATTCGTCATTTTATTCTTCAAGTTAATGATAAATTATTAGTTATCAAGATTTGTGTGTAAAAGAAAAACGAAGTTCAGAAGCTGTCTGCGTTTGTGTGTGAAGTTAAGTGCACATTGTTATCGCAAACCTTTGTACAGAGACAGTCCTCGGCATGAGATATACTGTAAATAAAATAGTTACGACATCTAAGGCTGCGATTGATCTCGAATCTCACCTGTATGCTAACATTTCCCGCAAGAGGGACAAGTTACAAGTCCCAGGGGTGGGACCCTGTTAACATAATCTTTCTGATTTTCGAATCTATGTGCGAAATGAGTTGCCATTCCCTAATTTCCACATATTTCATTGTTTAAACTTTGAATTTGCCTTCCAAGACCATGTAATTTTCCGTGTTGCTTTTAACAAAAGAGTTTTATTGCACCAAATCAATCAACCCAACCATTTCTTTGTTTTGTATATTGCTTTACACCTGTATTTGCTGTAATGTAATCTCAAATTTAGAATATGGGAGCGCAAAGTTAGAAAACATGCAATACTTCAAACTCCAAGGACCCAGTTTGAGTTTGACTTCAAAGCTTTCGATTTCATGTTTTCTAAACTCCTAATGGATAAAGTTCCAAATTTAAGATTACAATTTTAATTTCCAAATTCGACATTTTACGTGTTGGAGTTGCTTTATACAAGGTCAGCTCAATTAAGTATGTACATTTTTCGGAAAAGGACCATACGATAATTGGTTCGAAAATGAATAAGTGAAAAAACCACTAGTGCATTTGTCGCTGGAAAAGTTGCAGGTAACTTTTGCCGCTGTCAAGGTGACAATTGCACTGCGGCTTATGCGATTTTTTATACATGAGTTGTATTGTCACTTATAATTGCACAAGAGGTTTGTATTTTACCGAATAAATTTGGGTTGTTAAGGTAATGAAAATCTGTTGCCTAGCAATTAGACGAGAAAAACTGTCAACTAATAAAAATGCGACACCGCAGGTGGAGCATTTTTAGGTTGACAGTTTTTCGAGTCAATTGCTAAAAGGAAACAGATTTTAATTGCCACAACCCAAATTTATTCGGTTTAAATACAAACCTCGAGTGTAATTCGGCAGGACAATTTAACGAACAAGAAATTCACCAAACTAATCAATTATTGACAGACGTCAAACTAGCCATATGGGAAAGGATAATGCGATAATTTGTTCGAAAATGAATAAGTGAAAAAACCACTAGTGCATTTGTCGCTGGAAAAGTTGCAGGTAACTTTTGCCGTTGTCAAAGTGACAATTTCACTGCGGCTTATGCGATTTTTTATACATGAGTTGAATTGTCAATATAAAAACAACGAATCTAAATTTTTTTTTTAAATTAAATAAAAAATTCCATGTACAATGCTTAGGCGGGCAACGAAAATGGTTATGAAGTTTGCGGGATACACTCTATATAAAAGGCGCCAATTAATAATGAAAAAATAGGAAGGGATAGTTCCGGGGATTTGGAGAAGGCATTCGGTTCTAAACCACTGGCGCAGCCACTGTATAGAAGAAATTAATTGTTTTGGTGTTGCGGTTCGATTTCGATGATTCTTGAAATGGAAGTTTAAACGCGAGTTTCGGGCAGTTACCGCTAAATGAACTAACACCCAGAAGGGCATTAACATTAACGTGTCGGTTTCATGCTAAAGAAAGAGGTTGCTGTGTAAAGAGAAGACGATAAAATATTTGAACAATTGGTAAAATTATCACTGTATTCAGTTGAGGACAAATCAATTAAATGTGTCAGTGTCGTGCATTTCTATTGCTACAAAAAACTATTGGTTAAAGTTATTCCGGCGCGTATGCAAAATTAACAAAAAGGGGATTGGTCTTTCTAGTTAGAATTCGTAATATGAATAAATTAGTCTTAAACACGTATTGAAACAAGAAAAACATCAATCAAAGCAAACTGTACGAACTTGTGAGTTGGAATTTGCTGTTATTCCCGTAGTACAAAAAACCTATTACACTCCCGTAGCAGTTAAAAATTTTGCTTGCTTACAATCTATAAACATTGGAAGTTAATGTCCGAAAAAACGTCATCCAACGACTCCATGACAAATTCGTAGAAGAAAAGCTATCCGACGGAAAGATCCGTCCGTGTCATTTCACGAAGCATTGTTGCCGAAGCGTGTTGTCCGAAAAACTAAGTCATTTTAGGATTTCTTATTTTGATTTTCGCTGTCGACCGTCTGCGTGCGGGGTAATATGTGTAAGCTTTTCTTTCTTTGATTTATTTTTTCATGAGTTTCGGAATAATTTCTGTCATCGTCAATCAATTAACTGTGCGATTATTCGAATCCATTGTGCCGGATAAGTCGGATTTCTGTTCGTTCCCAAGATTTATTGCCATTACGACTTAGCTTGGTTTCTCGTCTGCAAAATAGAACCATGTCTTTATTTTCATTGTTATCTGCAGGTTCCAACCGTCAGGTTT